TTTTTTATAGACCGCCGCAACTCACGAAGTTAGCGGCTGTCAAACTAAATCCTGTCGCAGATACGAGCGGCGTGCTCTACTTGAGCCAGCGTGTGCATCAGACGAGCGATATCGACAACCTTGACAGACTGTATATGACAAATTAGAAACCGATGGTTGTTCGATAATGTTTGACATTTTTGCGTATGAAATGCAGAACAAGTCGCGACTGATACCTGACGATGTGTCTTCTGTCAGTTAGTAGTTTACGAGCACCACTGACGTTTTGTTTTTGACTTGGCCAAGTAGCCAACGACTCGACGATGATGACCAACCCGTTTTTTTTTTCGTTGTTGTTGTTATTTGTTTTTTATTCCGTTCTTTTTCAACCATTTCCTGCCTCACCAGCACCCAATGGTGGACGTCAAGTGAATCGCTGCGCCGCCGCCTCCGCTTAAGCGGACTTCACGCGGGGCGTCTGCGTCGACGTGGCAGCTGTTATTCTTGAACCACCAGCGTTCGCACGATTCCACCTTGGTACCGAGGATCTGGCGGCCGTGTGAACGCCGCGCCACACATGTAAATGCCGCGCACACTTCATGGCTTGCCTCTCCCAAGGTCGGTCGAGTATGAAAGACGAGACAAAAGCTTCACAAAAGCTCCTTGTGAGGCTGCTACTGTAGATTATCGGTAATTGGTATGCAAGTCCCTCACACTTGGAATTAATGCATCGCCGCACGATTGAAAGTCAATGCAGCACACAAAGAAAGGGAGTTTCACTCCATGGAGCGTTCCATTTTTTTTTCCCTTTTCTTGGTCAGAGCCTCCGACTCGACTTTCAACCTCCTCCCACTCCGCCGCTTCCTCACCCGGCTGCGAAAAGCGAGTGGAATAGTGTGAACCCTCCGCAGCTGCAGCAACTCTAATGAGGAAAACACTCGCATCGGCCGTGTAATTGCTGTTTAGGAAGCTGGTTGGCACCGGGATTGCCGAGTCACAACTTCGCCAACTCGGCTACAAAACAGACTGTGTCACTCTGCCGGGTTGCTTTTGATTCCTCCCCCGCCCCCCCTTTTTTTTCTGTATATGGTTGTTTCGTTCCCCCCGGTGTCACTCGGGGATGCTATGCGTAACACTTTTTATCAAATGTAAGTTTGAGTAAGGCAAGCGGAAAACAAGTCTGAGGAATTAATGGAGTGGTGGGAAAAGGTGAAATACGAGGGGGGGGGTGAAAAAACAGTGAAAGGCGTTGAATGCCACGTCACGCTCAAATGTCAACTGTCAAAAACGGATGTGACTTTGTCACGTGCCAACATGTGACTATAGGTTGAATGCGTGAAAATATATCCTCCTAACGCCTCTCGTGACTGGGTGTGTTAATTTCCACGACGTGACAACTGAATGTGAGAATGCATGCAGGATGACTTTTTTTCTCATCACGGTCTTCTTGTCCTAACATACAAATGTTGCTCAGATTGTATAAGCAGAAGTTAGAAATGGAAACAAGGAGGAATTAATTTTCATGATATCCAGGAACTAAAACATATTTTTGTTTGTCTGCAAGTTTCAAGCACGCAGTTCAACGGCATTGCCGGGGGGGTCTATTTTCAGCCACCGAGGAATATGAGCTCACGAGTATTTATGGAAACAGACCTGGGTGTGTTAATTGGCAGAGGAAAAAAAAAAACAACACGCACACAAAATGCCCTTGTCCATTGTAATAACGCAACATGTCACCAAGTGGAGCAGCGAGGCCCGTTGGTGCCGCTAATGATGTTTCTTTTTTTTTCTTTCTTTCTTTTTATCGTTTCAGCAGCAACAGAGATCAATGACACGGGAGGGGAAAAAAAGTAATTTTCTTTTGCTCTCCGGTGAAAATAATACATCAGAGTAATTTCATATACTCTTCAGGCAATAAAGTGTTGGGTAGGATTATCAGAGAGAGGTAGAAGCAGAAGAAGCTTCGGAAGAGGGTCGTGTAATATGAAACAAAGGTAACCAAACAAACAAGAACCGTCGCCGCGCGTTATTAAAATTCAAGGACCAACTCTTGGGGTGAGCCGAGATGAAGGTCAAGCAATAAATAGAATTGAAAAAAGATTGTGCTTTCCCCCTAGAACCCGCCGGACTGCGGTAAGGCCAGGAAGCTGGTGTGCAACATTAATAAGGGCTGCGGCTACGGCTGCCAGCTCCATCACGTCGTCTACTGCTTCATGATCGCGTACGGCACCCAGCGGACGCTCATTCTGGAGTCCCACAACTGGCGCTACGCCCCCAGTGGCTGGGAGAGTGTCTTCCTTCCTGTCAGTAACAGTTGCACCGACCGCTCGGGCGCCACCACCGGACACTGGTCAGGTATGTCCAAACGCCTTCTCAATAGCAGACGAGAAGTCACGAGCTCATAAAATAGGTTCATATGTCACAGCTCAGATCTTAACTCATTCACTCCCAAAGACGTTTTTAAACGTCTTTTCAGACTTGGTCCAGAATTGGCTGGTACTGAATGAGTTTGTACACTTTACACACAAACACACACACACACGCACGCACACACATATCTATATACACAAATACATACACAAGTATGAGGCTTTGCAGCATAACTCAACAGTGTGTGTTCAATCTCGAACGTTCTCTTGCCAAATTGAGTGTGTACGACTTCCATTTTTTTTTTTTTTTATGCTGCTGCAGCTAAAAGCAAGCGGTGTATGAAGGTCTCTGGCTGAAAACGAACGATGCAATTCCCGTAAAAGCACTTTGGCAGCTAACGTATTAGCGGGAGGCTGCCGCTCAACGCTTCCCGTCGCCAAGTAATCCTGTGACTTGAGAGTCCACTAAAAGAGTGCACACAACTTGATGTCGTGAAGAAGGTTTGTCCGTCAACTGTGAACCAAGACTACTTCACATCAAGGACGGCGCACGGGTTATTAAGTCCGTACAAGACTGAATGGTTTTCTAGATAGAGTGGCCAAAGGTTAGAACATTGTTACATTAGAGCCTTGCCGTGTGCTTCTCCAACACTTGATGGCAAAAGAAAATGGATCAAATGTGAGCGGGATTCCCCCTTTTACCCTTTATTGCACCTGCACTCACAGCTAAGGTGCCCTTGAACATCCCCCACTACCCAGCCTCTCGACTGGAAAGTCGCCCACTCATGCCGTGGGTCGCTCATGGTGTGTGCGGAACGGTTGCATCCAATTTCCTGGAGAAACACAAACACGGCCTTGGAGAAGAAAAAAAAAAAAAGTCTCTTGCATGATAGCGCTCTCGTCAACCCTCGACAGTCTTTTAATTTCACTTTTTCGGGCGTTCCAAATGCCCGGTGCTATATCAAGATGATGTTCACTGTATCCACCGCCTAAATCCATTTTTAGAATTGACCTGAATGAGTACTAAAGTGAATGTTGTGAATCTTGTTTAAGCCTCCCTGTGGGGATCCGGAACAAAAACAGGCAGCGCTGGGTAAACTCAAGTGCAGGAGGCTGCGGTTTTTTATGGGAGGATTGACACATGCCGCTGTCTACACACAGCTTGTGTTTACCCCTCCGCTGCCCCCCCCCCAACCCCTCTCAAAAATAAACAATGGGGTTGCACAGATCAACAGAGTTGTCTGCCTTCAGGCAAAAAAAAAAAAAAAAAAAATCCCTCCTCCTTAAACGGGTTTTGATGCCTCACTGGAATTTAAAGTACCAGTGATGCCCAACAAATGAGAAACGGGCAGTTCGGGAAGAAGTGCTGCTTTTTTATTTTATTTTTTTTCAACAATTTCTGTCATTGCCACTCCATGTTCAGTCATTCGTACACTGAAATGGAATAGCGGAGACAAAAGATCAATCCGTTGATAAAATAGGTTACACGAGCGCTGCACATGCAGCAGACTCATTTATTAGTATTGAGTTCCGAATCGAAGATGATATGATTACCAGCTTGGCTCATGGTTTAAAATTTTAAAAAAAAAGTGTTTGCCTCTGCAAAACTGACAAATCCGAAGCGTTTGCAAAAGACGATAAGTGAATTGGAGGGTTTGACTATCAGGCGTCGTCTGCCTCACGCTCTCATTCGCTATCAATTTCTCTCGTTGTTCTCGCGGTCGCATCCTTTCAGCTCTTCATTTTTTTTTTTTTTTTTTTTCCTCCCAGCACCTCATTTGACTCATGCTCTCCTGAGCTCTTCCTTCTTATCTGCTGCTCTCGGGGTGCCTCGCCTCTCTTATTCCGCCGCCTTTCATGCGTCCTTTTCGACTATCTGCTCTCTCTGTCTCCGCGGCCTCCTATGGATCCATCGACGCCATCTGGCTGCCCCGAGCCGACGGCTTATTCACCGCATACATCCTGCATTCTTATGCCTTGGCTATTTTTTTTTTTTTTTTTTTTTGAAAGGAGCAGGTTGTCTGGGCCACCGCAGGGAACGAGTGACACATTGGCCTTGCTAATGTGGGCCTGTTGCTACCTGACTCGTCCCAATTGTCATGTCTGTTTCATTAACAGTAGGCAAGTGCCATCATAGCGGCGCGAGGCCGCAGAACGAGGCCCGGAGGCTTAAATATGCAAAACCTGTTGTTAATGCTCCCTTTCAAATGCGTGTCCTTATTCTCGCTGCGTCTTATACTTAGGAATGCTTTTTAACGGAGCGGTTGGGAACCGATTTATAGGGGGGGGGGGGGAGCCCGGTCGAATTTTATTCACGACCCACCTTCTCGAAATAGCTTTATATTGTTAACCCACTTCTGTTAAGAGTTTCCCTTCGGGTGCGAGGCATTTATAGGAATTGTATATGCATCTGTGACTGGGTATTTTTGTGAGGGAGAAAACATATAGCTTCGGGGGGGCCGGAATCAAAGATAGTGGAAAAAGTCATTATGGGACCTGCTTGTTTCTTCCCGCACATGGGAAAACAAAAACAAAACCTAAAAAGATTGGATTAAAGTCGAAATAACATGCCATGCGCTCGCCTGCGGGATGGCAGTGACGACGGGAAGAGTAGGTCCTTGGAAATGTGCTTGTTGTTTTCATAGGCACGCTAATTAGGATATAGAAGAGCAAAGTGTGAGTTAAAAAAAAAAAAGGGAAGTTTTCTAGTTTAGGTAGCGGTTAGCATGTTGGCCTCACAGTTCTGAGGTCTGGAGTTCGAATCTTGGCCTGACAGGCTTCATTTCGCACATTTCGTTACAAAATTGTTAAGCGCGGATCAAACAACTCATTTCTTGGATCCGACCGACTCATTAACCGAATGTGAAAAAGTTCTTGTTTTACTTGGGAATGTTTAGCCGGAGAGGGCCCAACGCGTAATTAGATGAAGACGCGGGGGGGGGGGGGGGGGGTGGTTCGCGGGATATGACTCAGTTCATTTGCAAAGTGACTGCAGGAGCATCATGTTTGTTGTTCGCTCTTCCTCTTGTCTCTTTGGATTCGGCTCCTGAAATATGTATGAAGCCTTCTAGGTGAAAGCATTTGGATCTAATTGAGCGGCTGTGGGTGGAAGATCAGTCCATTTGTGCCAGATCTCGGAGCGATCTTCAGCCCCCCTGTACGTGCGCGCCGTGCCAGCATTGTTATGTAAGCGGAGCCATCTACAGTATTGTCAAAAAAACAAATGCGTGCGTGTGCATATATATATATATATATCTCATTAAAACCAAATGTAGTTCAGATGTTCTAGTTGGCTTTCCGTGACATTTTTTGCTTTCTTGCAAAAGGCTAATTGTTTTATGCCAACGCTTACTGGTACTTGGAACCGTTCCGAATGTCCACTTTGACTTAGTTCCATCTGAAGAAAACTTGGCCCCAAATGTAAAGTGACGTCGCGGCACTGTGTCCTGCGTGTTCAGTATGTAGCCACCGTATGATTCAGCATTGTGCCACTCAAAGCGAGGCTTGCCTTTATTTCTGCCCTTGTCCTTAACGTGTTTTTATGGACCCATCATGTCCGAAGCAGAATTTACACGCACGTTGCCGTTTATTTAGGAAGTGTGCCGATGTTGTTTATAGCAGTATTAGGACCTGTCTCCGGTGCTTTGGCACCCTCAAAACTGATTATCTGCAAAGGTTGGACATATATACACACACACACACGCGCGCGCGCGTATACACACATTTTCTGAAGGTTTTAGAAAAGAAAGTCAAGGTTGTCTTCCAGGTATATCCCCGCTGGTGAAAAGAGATTATCAGGGGCTGCGTGGATGTGTGTTTGCAGCTTATCGTTATTTTCGCACGCTTTCGCGCACGCGCCCTTGCGGTCTACATTGAGTGCATATGTGCACGTACACTCCAGCGTACGCGAGTGCGCACGGTCAAACGGTCGGCCTTGGTGTGTAAGTTGAGCGTTCTGGCGATGCCGCGAGGTTTTTGCTACCCCGAGAGGTGACCTTTACAATCAGTCCGGCTCAACCCTTTGCCCGCGGCTCCTGCCAATCTCGACTCAGCCTGGAGTCGCCGATGGCCAAGTGCCAATCACCCATCCGCATCCTATCTTTTGATTCGAAGGAGCTTCCCTTTTGCCACGTAGCAAACTTGACTATATTCCGAAACTGTGAGTAGAAATGTTGACAAAGTCATTCATAAGGATTCATTCTTCACAACGCACGGTCTCTTCACAGGGGAGGCCCACGATAAGGACGTCCAGGTTGTGGAGTTGCCCATCGTGGACAGTCTTCACCCTCGCCCCCCCTACCTGCCTTTGGCCATTCCCGAGGACCTGGCGCCGCGTCTGCACCGCCTGCACGGTGACCCCTCCGTCTGGTGGGTGTCCCAGTTTGTCAAGTATCTGGTGCGGCCTCAGGCCTGGCTCGAGAAGGAGATCCAGCAGACCACTGCGAAACTGGGCTTCAAACACCCCATCATTGGGTAAGGCAAATCTTTTTTTTTTGTGCATTTCCCTGATGTCTTTACACAGTTTCTATTGGGCGCCTCCTATCAGTGTTTCAAAGCAAACAGAAGGCCTGGTAATAAGCAAATAAAGACATGGCTTGCAGCCATTTGCTGAGGTTAATATCAGGTTAATGCAATAGTTTGGAATGCACCCGAAACGGCTCTATTGTGCATTTTATTCTTTATCTTCTCCATGCTCCAGAATTAGACTTGTTTGAATGTTAGCGCAACCTGCCGCCAAAAAGACCCAAACCGACAATGAAAATTTCCCGGCATATAAAAATATTGTCTATATAGAAACCGCCACCGTGACCCGCCCTTCCATCCATTTTTGAATCCGCTTTTCCTCACAAGGGGTCACCGTGACGCACGGCCCGCTAAAAGCTAATTGAGTTACGTATACACCGTTGTCTGTTTCCTGTTAATCTCAAACAAACCACCCTCTTCTTCAATGTGCTGCTAATGAAAGATAACGCCAATATAGCCCCGACTTTTTTTTTTTTTTTTCGGTTTAGTGAACAGATACGTTCTTTCATTAAACTCTTTTAAATAACTTCAAAGTATCCTCATGACAAGTGTTTTGAGCGGGTTGTACAGCTTGGTGTTGAATATTAAAACCATTTCGAAGTCTCGCTTTTTCTCTGACGGCAGCTTTCAGTTCTCCTCTCGGGTTTTTCGTTCGTGCACTCTAGACTGGAGGCGGACTTGATGCGGCGAGTTTTGTCCATGAGTGGAGTATGTTGCGAAATGTTTATGGACATCATTCCTCGACACAGATGAAGTGTAGGTGGTGCTAACTCGTGTGGTCCCGACTGGCGGCCCCCGAAAAATGCCAACCAAAGTGTTTGCTCGAATGGCACACGACTTGGTCTGAGGCTGCCAAGTCGAACCCCGTTTTTTTTTTTTTTTTTTTTAAATATCTCCGCTAAAATGAAGCTCCTCTTGTTTGGCCCACACGGCCCAGCCCTCCCCCCCCCCCCCCCCCAAAAAGAGGAGCAAGTGTTGGTATTTCACGTACCTCCTCTGGGTGCCTTCCTGTCTAACCGGGATGAAACCTTAGAAAGAACTCGGCAACACCGAAGGGATTTAATGTCAGAGCTGACCCTGGACTGAACATAAGGAGGTGGGACCATGGCCATCTCAATTTAGACCGCTGCCACCTGGACTTGGATGTTTGGAGTTGATAAATGGACAGATGGGCGTGTTTTTTCCCCTCATTATTATTATTTTTTTTCCTTGTCGCATGGCAGCCAGGTGCCCAACTCGGGGGAACATTTGCATTTTGCCCACAAGCCCATTCTCTTCATGCTGCACTTCCTGCATCGGCTGTTATCGTAACGCGCTCACTTAGCCCAGATGGGAGATTTATCATTCGACGCCCATGCGCATGATGATGAGGGCGCAGCGGGCAGGCAGTCAGGAGAAAAGCTCCGTGTGAGGAAACTGACTTTCAGATCCTTTTGCTGAGGTGGACCGAACCTTTCACAATGTCCCGGGAGCCTCCAACATTCTCCATCTCTACTGGGAAAGCAAAAAGTTGAAAGCAAACACCCAAGACTGCGAAGCCGGTCTCCGCCTTCCCGTTCGTCGATTCCCGGCGAAGGATTCAAGTTCCTCTCTGGATGCTTTGACTGCAAGCCATCCTCACTCATTGCGTTGCCGCCTCCTGCCTCCCGCTCCGCTCATTTCGCTCCGACTCTTTGTTACGTTCCGACTGCCTCTGCCTCCTTTCATAAGCACGGCAACCGCCGTCCGTTGAAGCGCCCGCTCCCCTTTTATCTCCTCGTCCCGTTCTACTTTTGGATTCAGTTGTGATCGCGACTCGCGTTTCGTTTGTTCTCGCTGCCAAGACTCGAGTTGCCGCTCTCACCTTTCCCTCACGTTCCCCCTTGGCACCCATCTGTATTCACCAGCCTCTCACGTTCCACGCATCTCTTGTTACGCTTCTTTGTGTGTCCCCCCCGCGCCCACCCCAACTCCACGTACGCACGCTCCCTCCCAATCTGCTGAGAAAATGTTGGATGGCTTCTACTCCTCGCACCCTCACTCATCCACTCAATGAGCTAATGTGGCAGCAAAGTGCCCGGAAGCTTCTGTCAGCATTCGGGGCAGGAGCGAGAATGTGTGAGTCGGTTGTGGGCAAGTTTGTGACGTTTGGAAAAGCAGGCGAAAGTTGAGAGGGGACGGTGGTTTGCCCGATAAAATCAAACCCTTGACATTCGACCAAGCGGAGCAGAATCCATTCAATCTTCCTTTTGCCCACAGCTTTCAATTTCCGCGTCCGCTTATTGATCGCGTTCCTTATCGATTCTCATTGGGTGAGGGATCCAAAATACCACAAATGGGGTTTGTAAGCTCCCACCCCACCCCCCCCCCCCTTTTCATTTTTCTTTGGAGGAACATTACAGCCTATCTAGTCGGCGCTCATTATCTGTAATGGATCCTTGGGGGAAAAGGAAAGGAAGGTAGGCGACTTACTTCTCAAAGTATGTCAAGAGACCATTAAGCTTCATGCGTTTTTTGCATACCTTTCAAGATATCCGAGTGCCGTAGGACATTTTGCAGTGCCACTCTGAAATTGGTCCGGAGGAAATGAAGTACGCTCTCTTTTGGCTTTGGGAACCGTCTTGGCATGGAAGGTTCGGTGGCACTTCCCCCCCCACACCCCCCCCCCCCCCCCTCCTTACCCGTCACTTGCT